ACTCTTTCCAAAATCAAATTAACCGAACCAAAACATAGATGAATCTCGAAGCCCAAGTGTTATAATGCATCAAAATAGCGGCCTTTGAGATATTTACATGATATTTTTTGTCTTGAGAAGGTCCATGTGCTTAGATGCAATTTCCACCGAGTAATGATATATATATATATATATATGTTTGGCATCTACTTCATATGATTACGCATAATAGTGAATATGCGGAACGCCAAATGTATAATAGTTATAGTAAAACTGGACCGACCCATCTCACATTTCCACAGAGAATAAAATAAAGCTTTTGTAACCGTCACGCTAATCTAATTTACAAATTCGATAGAACCGAAAATACTGGTTTGGCAAAATACTTCAAACCAAACCAAATTGAAATGGTTGGTATAAACCGGACCAAACTCATTCGGGACCTGAACCGGAATGAAAAATGGGACAGCTCGCAAGATGTGTTGTCTAAATGGGGATATTTACAAAGAGATGGCTTGGTTGTGGACTTTCCATCATATATATAACCCTACCGTGTGTACCAAGTTACCCTGTACCTTCCTGTACAAGGTACCGCGGTTTCTTCCAAAACGATTTTCTGAAGGATGTGAGCAAAAATCCAGAGGGAGGTAAGAACTGTATATTGTCACAGTACACTTCCGTAATGGATCCAGTTGGTAAACTCTTGTGAGAAACCCGGTACGTGAACATCCTCGCCTCCTTCTGACCAATCAAGATCAAACCTTCTCGGAGGAAACTGTAAGAACGAAAATCATAGTCAGTGTCTGCCAGTGAAACTCAATTTCCTCTCCAATGATGATGGACCACAGAGACAATTTGAGTTCAAACCCTATGTTTCATCCCTTTCTTCATAAACTTCATGGTGTTAGTGAGATGGTCCGGGTTAGGAGAAGGGGCAGCTGATTAGAGCTATGTTGAACATTTTACGGGGCGATATGTTATATTATTTTCCCTTTTCTGACGAGGAATTCGTAGCGATTACGCCCATGTGAAAAATACTTGAATCTAAAGACTTATATACCATGTATGAAAACTGCATTCAGATTCATTATCCATATGGTATTTGGACGTGACGAACGATGAGTATGATTCATCTCATTGAATTAGGCCAAGACATCGGGATATAAAAGGCGAGAATTGAGTATGAAGGAAGTAGTACCTCGACAGTGGAGTTCGTTCTACTTGAAGAAGTGATGGATTCGTTTTCCATATCGGTATAAATGTTGTCCGAAGACCAAGACAAGGTGCTGAGGAAAGATGAACATCATCAACAAGCATTTGGATAAAGATCAAAGATCTAAGAAATTGATATATGAATGTGCACGTGCACCGTGGACAAAAAGATGATTTCTTTTTACCTGCTTTTTTCAAAGGACTTCTTCACCAGAGCATATCTACTCTTCACAAAAGCATAATTATCGTCATGGCCTTCAGTAGAACAAGAACAGTTGCCCGGAAACATCTGGCTCGAACCCACACGATGTTCACAACAAATGGCCGACAGGAAGCTAAAAAATTTTCAGACAGGAAGAGTATCATAAGGCTGAAAATGAATTTCAGATAGGATGTAGCCGATATTAGGAGACTTAAAGGTACACCTCGGAGGAGAAAAAGCTTCAGCTTCGATGACTGGGAGATCTGGATTGGATTCTGAGATACCTCCGTTAATGCCTTCACGTGAAGGCTGAGAATCTCTGACAATAGCCTCCTCGATGTTCAAATCACCATCCCAGATGATATTATTATCTGAGAATGATCTCCTCATAGCCGGTCTGCAATGCACAGAGAAACATTTAATCTTGTCCACTTGTAGTAACTTAGTAACCAGAGATTTAAAAAGGCATTTCGACAACGAGTACCTCGGGTATTCATTATCAAGGTTGGCACTATATCTCCCGATGTTGTAATGATGGTCAGAATCCAACTCCCATAATGCCGGGTTCCCCAGTTGTGGTCGGAAATGACCCAAGAACCTGACCAAATCACCATGCCAAACATCTCATGACCAAATCTACGAACCTAGAAATATAGATCTGAGTGAACTTACATGTTGATGCCATTTTGTTTCTGGCCATCAAGATAAGCATTACTGTAATGACGACGCAAAGCCGTAAAAATATCACGGTGTCGATTCACCAGGTTGCGCTCACCTCTCAGATCACAAAACATCTGCAATGAGCATTATGATACACGCATTGTTTAAACATCTCAAGTCTACCAGAAAAATACATCGGAGAGAAAAGAATAATAGAATTTTCAACAACGTTTCTAAACGGTGGAAATAGCATGTAGCCAACTTGATCGTTTTGTTTAGAACTGCACCCTTTCATTGCAAGATCACCGGTTAGGGGAATCCAAGCAACTCCCTACGGATTGGTTCTTTTTAACTACATCGGCATATGTTGGATATCTCCAAACGAATTTGGTTCACTTCTGTGTAAAACCCTCGATTTTTTAGTACAATTTACATTTCATTTAAAGAAATCACCTTGCTGTGTGCTTCCGAACCACCATACTGCAATGCAAGTGTATCGCCCATAGTCTGATAAATTTCCATCAAAGTTGTTGATGGATGGCTACTAAGATCAGAATTAGATGATGATGTAATACCCAAGGCATGAAATTGACGCCCGAGAGCCATCAGTCCAAGTGCATATTGAGCCAAATTTGTGCGGTCTAAGCAATCTATGCAGTTTGTCCTCATAACCCCAGTTTGAAGCATAGATATATCAGTCAAGAATGTTCCCTTCTCTGCATTAATCGTTTCCTCGTCCCTACCCGGAAGAGATTGAGTGAAGCCATCTGCATCCGAGTTCCTGAAATACAATTGTATTAGAGTTTAAGGCTTAACACCAGACAAGGAATACAGTCTGAAACTAGGCCAGAGAGATACAAACAATGTAAATATAGCTACTGCAACATGAAGATTGTATAACGAAATCGAGCATATAAAAAGATTAATGGCTTGAATTACTATATTCTAAGTTATGATACTAAATCCCTCGTCAAGTTAAACTCCCCAAAATAGATGATATTTTGCTCTAACAATTAGATCATGAACTAAATTCAGGCAACTTTCAAAGGAAAAAAAAAAGGTTATTACATAAGAAGCTTACTCAAAGCATGAGTCATTCAGTAGTTCTTCGGATCCGACACTCGTAGAAGCTTCACAGCAAAATATACCAGTCAAGTCCAATGCATCCGTTGCAAACGTGCACAAGCGGTCGAATGCACTTTCAGCTCCACTGCGAAATTCGACAAAAGATCGTTAAGTTATTTTACATTAGAAACCAAAAGAATCCATGTTGGTGCAAAATATGGTATAAACAAGTACATTTTGAAGTGTTTACTGAGATCGAAATGAATTGGCCTTAAACGATTCTCCTTCTTCAAGCTTCTGTTTATAAATAGGATAGCCTTTGCAAATTCTGGACGTAGGATGGTTTCTCGATGCTTTTTCTCACTTGCCTAACCACATAGAAGGGCAAACACATAAACAGCCATTTGGAAAACAGAGAAAATGATTGTTGAAAGACACAGAACCTACCTTTATCAGGTTAAGGATGATTATTGGATCCCCATATCGCTGTTTTAGATTCTCAAAATGGCGTTTAGTCGCCTCATAATTCATTTCATTCTTGTATACTGTAAATAAAAAATACAAACAAACGAGATGGGATCAGGATAGAAAAACTAAGAACCCTTTAAGACAAGGCATACGAGGCTTACGCTGTATGTCTGGTTGTGGATTAAAGAGAGATGTTTCTTGGGACCAAAATAGGGGGATGGAGCCCCTGTTCTGCACAACCGAACTTATTACCACTCTCTGACCATCATCGGGAACTTCTTTGGAAATAATCTGCTCTGTCTCGACATCGTTGGCTGCTCTGCCCATCTCATTTACACCACGTCTTAAGTATCTACTCGATAACATGGGAAACAAAGAAAAGTCGGTCTCGTATTTAAGAATAAAGACATATCAAGAGGAGTCTTTATGTGACATTATTTCCAATCCATGTGAGGCTATGCATCAACCTGAATGAATATGAGTTACCTGGTACCAGCAAAATGTCGTGAACGTCGAGCTATGACAGTCATTACAACTTCTGTATCATTTATTGAGCATTTATTCTGGACAAAGAAAAGGAACATTTCGACATTAAGTTAGCATGTTGGACTTGCTTCCAATAAACATAATCGAGACGGGAAATTCATTTACAAGAAACACGATACTTATGTTTTGCTAAATTCAATCTAAAATACGGTCAGTCCTGGGAACTAGGGCATGTGTAATAATCATGCTTCTGATCAGAACAAGTTTATACACCAAGTCACAGAATATTTCAAACTTACCATTCATGGGTTTCCACCGTAATTTATTTAGTTTACCTGATTAAAGAATCCACAAATCAATGCAACTGTCCACACGGTATTCTGGAGGATTCTTCGGATCCCACGGGTTAAGAATGTGTTCCAGACAAACAGTGTGTTGTAGTGATCTTTCCCTCTCTCACTGTTGCATGTGTTCTTCTGAAGGCTATACATGAGGTGATATGTATAGCTGAAATAGAAGTCTCTTCTAAGATCCACCATGGTTAAGAGCTTCTTGTACCTACAATACATGAAAAAAAAGAACGTGTGAGTATATACATGTTTAGTGTCCAACCGATACCTCACCTTATTCAACATGAACAGATTCAAACCGAAATCACGGGGAATTTGTTCATTACAGTATCAGTGGACACAATGATGAAAAGAAACAATCCAAGATTTGTGCTTGCAAATGTGCCGATAAAAACGAAGTGGAGTAGCATTAACAAAGTGTATTTGAATCAACACCTATTCTCGGATAAAGAATCAGCCGCTTCGCTCAGCACTGAAGGATGTGGAATTGTGATCATTCTGCTCTCTGCAATACCATATACTGTATGCCCACAAATCACACCCATCTTCTTTCTTTTCGTTATCATCAGCATATAGTATGGTTCCAAGAATCTTACAAATCCTGCATCCAGAGAATGTTAAATAGATCGAAATGAATTCTGCATAAAGCAAATGACAAAGTGATCGGTAGATAGTTCCCAAGTACGAGCAGAGGGACATATACCGATGATTCCGTAACAAGTTGTGACCTCTTGGAGCCCACCGAACTTCTTGTTCCCTTCGTTTATCCGTCTCTTCACCTCGCGCCATTCATCTTTCGAGTAATTTGTCGGATCTTCGAAGAGATTCAGCTCTGTTGGATTGGTACGATCAATCTTTAGGATTCTCCGGAAAGTCTTCTTCTCGTCTCTGCCGACCAGATAAAGATTCTGTGGAACAAAAGTATCAATTTGGTAAAAAAGGTAGGTAATTTGAGCTGAGAACCTGAATTCTTTCTCAGAAGACTCATGCCATTTTACTACAATTACACGAAAACAACCAAAAATTTCGAATCCACAAGTTTCAAATCGAACCCATTTACAGCTTTTGAAACCTGTCGTGTTTCATGTCGGAAAATATCTCGTAAACAGAGGGATATTTGACCAAAATCATAAACCAAACAGCTAAAATAAAACGATAGAGCGCCTGAGGTAAAATTCACCAACAAGAACAACAAGTTTCGCAAATCAACGAGATGAAACTTTACTGAGTGGGTCTTGTAGAGCTTGAATTTCTGAAGAACAGGAGAGTGAATCGGGTCTGTTCCCGGATCAACCCGAGGATTCGATCCCATCCGAAGATCAGAATCCGGGTTTCGGAAGTGAGAAAACCCGGAGATGGGTTGACTCGTATCACCGGAGAAGATAGAGGACGATGACGAGAAAATCACAACAATATTCCCGGAAAATCTGGGATTGGGAAAAGAAGAAAATGATCGGATGAGCACGAAGAAGATGAACACTCGACGTAACCAGGTTCGGAGAGAAGACCAGCAAGGGGGTAAGAGCTATGGTCTTCAGTTAACCTTTTAGGCGCTAATTCTACATATTTATACTCTCCCTAAACACGCTGTCGTTTTGTGTTGCCTTGTAAAAAAGGGCTTCCCCTTTTTGTTTTTTTTCCCCTTCCCTTCCCTTCTCTAAAAGAACAATCATTATTAATTAAATAAAATCAAATAAAAAATTTGAGTTTTTTTTTAAATAGTTTTTAGTGAGAATATACTCAAAAGGATATAAAGGAAGTCACCTTTTATACTGTTATTGTTATTAGTATTACCCATGCTTGAGTGACCTGAGAGAATATGTAAACCATACTTTATCCTGGGTTTAAATCCAAGCGTGGGAAGGGGTATTCACATGGACTTCTCCGATCCTCTGGGAAATGTAATCGGGTCAAAGGCCCGGTAAACTTCCGGATTATCAAAAAAAAAATATTATTATTATTTTGGATAAATTATTATTAGTATTATTATTGAATTGATATTATTTTCTCGTTAAGTTTCAGAAGTATTGATAATGGCTATAACTCGAGATTGTATGAAAGGAGATTATATTTGATGTCGATTTACATATATGGTTTGAGATGCATAATTTTAAATTTGATCAATATAATAGTAAATATAACTTCAGGGCCATAATAGAGAACAATAAAATTATCCCTATAAATTAGAATCCATTTGGTAAAATAAATAAACTAATTATATGTTTCGAACAAGAAAGCAATGAAATAAAAGAATAAAAATAAATTTAAAATGATCTCCTCCTCAATATCACTATAATGCGAAGGTCGGCCCAATAATAACTACAAATGATTAGTCTTTCTTAATGAGATTTTTTTTTTTAAAAAAAAAAGCGCAGATGATTAAGGAATTGACCTCGTTCCTTCGTGGGATTAAAACGAGTAAAGAGATGAGAATTGAACGTTGAAAACGGTAGGGGGATTATTATTATTGTCGATTTCATAATAATGATAATTAGGCAATTAATTAGTGACACGTATTATCAAACCGTTTGTGGTGATCGACATGTGTATCTGTGCGCTTACGCAGTCGGACATTTTTTGTTTTTATAATACACCACCAATTGACCTTTGCTCGTATGAACTACACCATTTTATTTTTATTTTGGTTTAAATTCTTTAAAATTACATCTGTTCAATTATTTAAGTTAGAAAATTGGATTTTTCTTCTTCTAAAAATATATTTTTTTTCGTAAACGTTTTTTCATAACCGAAACAAAATAATCACACCTCTATTTATCCATCCAAATATTCTACTTTTAATTTAAATACTCACATTTGCTTAAAAAAAAACTTTTTGTGGTTAAATCATGAACACGTGAGATATGTTCTTTGTAATTAAATATCAAAGATATTGGGAATAACCATAAAATAAACTGATGCCTTACGGTGAGCATGGCATTATCCAAAACAATTATTTATTCGTCTTTTCTTATATTAATTAGAACATCATCACTATATAATCCGAAAAATAAATTCAAGCCATCTATTGTCTAACAACAAAGATCAAGTATCATATTAAACCGAAACCCAAACCACAAGCTAGATTCGGTTTGATTAGGTTCGGTTCGGTTCGGTTCGGTCCGGTCTAATAACGGGTTTAATGCCTCTTCTGTCTCTAAGCTTTCCTTCATGCTCTCCCTTCCCACTCCTCGTAAAACTCCTTGAGAAACTCCACCATGAACTCGTGCCTTTTCTTGGCCCTTCTTCGACCCGCCTGAAAATTTTACAGACCCTGATAGAAATTTCTCGTTCTCGTCATCGTATAGCGTTTAAAAGTTGTGTCTTTTTCTCCTAATCTTACCTCGGTTTTCATCAGGTCCTTCAGCTTGAGGAGCTTCTCATGGAAGTGATTAACGGTAGTCTGCTCCTCTTTCTTCATGTACTGATCTTTGGTTAGCTCCATTCGGGGCTTGATTTCAGGATCATGAAGAACTCGGTTTCTGCTTCCACCGAATGTGAAGCAACGAGCAATTCCTATAACCAGATGAGATCGAGGGCTAGTGAAAAAAAAGAATGCGAATTAATAATCAAATGTAACGCGAAATCCTACTCAGCACAACACAACAAGAACATTGAAGTGGGACATCCCTCCTTGGTGATAATAGTCCAGAAATCAGATATAGGATCTTGAGAAATTCTTGATCTGATCTTAAAGAAGCTCAGAAACATAAGAGAAGCTTGTTACCTATAGCGCCAATGGCATCAAGACGATCAGCATCTTGAACCACACCAAATTCTGGAAGAGATTCAACAGTTGATGACCCGGCCAGCTCATCCTTAAACCCTGGAAAATGGGAGAAAGAACTCAACCGTATCGGTTATCGAATTATGGTTTCTCCGATCCAGTTGTCAAGTCATTATTTTTTTCTGGGAGGGATGTGAGCTAAACACCAAATCAGTTAGTGGATTCATCTATGCAATCATCCTGAAAAATGATGCAAGTAAGTGTATTGAGCTCGATGAGTTTAGGAGCCAGTAACTGACCCATTCCCTCGATGATCTTTAGAATCTTCATCTTCTTGCCCTCTTCTACACACTCCTCGTTAAGGAAATTCTCTACAAGCTTCTCCTCCGAAGGGTCTCTGAATTCCATAATTTTCGGGTCATCAAACAACAAGACAAGACAATAGCATGAGATTAGCATCGATCATTCCCAATCATACGAAGAAAAATGCAGGACATTCAAGGACTTAATCTCAGACACAAAATAAAACATGTTTTCCTGTTTCAATTCGCAACATCAAGAATTGGTATTGTCTTTTTCTTTTTGTTTCATGATGTTAGTCTAGTCCAGTCAAGCGTTTCAGAAGCAATGGACAAGAACGAGTAGTAATAGAAACAAACCTCCTGTATTTGTAATCACCTGAACAGAGAAAGAGAGAACAAACAGATCAATACAGGAAATACATTGCCGAAGCGAGTAGGGAAACATGTAATCCTTATGAAAGCATAGACATTGTGGGGAAGAAACACCAGATTCAGCTACCTATATCATGGAGAAGAGCTGCAAGCTCAACCTGCAAAGGGAGATCAATCAGCAGAAGAAATATTCACCAAAAGAAGAAATCCCCAAATTAAACTATGAGAATGCAGCAGAAAACGCCCATCAGAACTTAATTTAAACAAGACATTGTCACAACAACAAAACTTTCAGGAGACTGTAAATTTCGGAGAAATTGGCGTGAAGTGCAGAGATTAGGGTTTTGAGGGCGGGGTGTATGCGGAAAACTCACGATTTCCATGGAGTCGGGGTTAGCGGAGAGGCCTTCGTCGCGGGCGAGAGAGAGGGCGAGAGATCTGACCCTCCACACGTGCGAGGCGTCGTGTGAAGCATCGTTCCCTTTCATCACCCTCTCCACCATCTCCTCCGCCTTCTTCACCGTCGCCATCTCCAGTGAGAGATCTGATTTTCCCGGCGATTTTAAACCAATTCACTAGCCGCGTTTTATTCCAAAATTTGTGATCGATGATGATCTTAAACTTTAAAAAATTCACTTTTTCCATTAGCAGTAATAATAATATTACTTGTTGGTGAAAACTGATTCTATCATATATTTTATATTTATTATTTCACACAACTAATTTACTGAGAAACAAAAGCAGACGACAACATTAGAAACAAGCCGAACAACAGAAACAAAGCTGTTGGGTACAACATTTCTGCCAGAAGAAGAAGAAGAACTAATCTCTGAGTCGTATCAATGCCTTCAATCTCATTCCCTTTTGTCTTCCTCCACATCTCCATCTGATGATCCTCCTTTTTCGGCCGGAAAAGGTCTCGTTTCGGGCAGGTTCTCGGCTTCTTGGGAAGGGAACTGCGTCGGTTTTATGAGTGTTAGACTGTAATCATCCTTCTCGAATTCGCCATTCGCTTCTCCCGAGTATGCATACCTAAACACATGACAGCCGTTATCAGTTCTCCGTCCCTACACAGCGCTTGGTAGCCGAGAAAGAGAGATGGAAAGCAGAATGCAAGAAAGAAAACGAGGAAACTTTCCGTCGACCTCACTCAGCTTAACTAACTCAGTAACTGCCGGAACAGACACTTCACTTGCCTGTCTTGCTTGTTTCTACTTCTAGCTTCTCGTCTATCATCGTGTTTTAGAAGAAGGAAGACTCGGGATATAAGCTTTACCTGGTCGAATTCTGAGACGGGGCCCAGAGAACACAGATAATGGTAAGAAGTGAGAACGAGAGCAGCTGCCAAAAACCCGGGATGATCCAAGCGTTTTGCCAATGCTCATTGTACACGTCCTTCGACTTGAAATAAATCTGCAAAAATCAAGAGAGAAAAGAAACCCAACGAAAGTGAATAATCCCGGAATCTTAAAGCAGGCCTTTTTAAACTTGGTCAGGGGGAAATTCTGGTTTAGAATAGGCGAGTTTTTTGCGTAACGGTACGAGAATCGGAAGTCAATTTGTTATATTACCTCGTAGCAAATCCAACCCACGGAAACCAAAACAGCCACGGCCAAAGCGTTCGTGTACTTTCTGTATATGTCCAACTTAACCAACATCCTTCTTGCCTGTACGTTCATTTCAATGTCACCTCGGGTCGTATTCATCAACTAAGCAAATGACATAAGAGGGAAAAAATATCGGGGTACCTGAAGCTTCTTCAAAGTAGCGGAAAGCGACTTGAATATCCATATGATGAAGAAAGCATCCAATATCGCAACCGGGAGTGGCAAAAACAGCCGAGCCTTTCCCGAGAGATCGCTTACAGCACCGACATTTTCTATCAGTTCGAGAATTTCAGATGCTGCGAAGAAGGTTACACCAAGCATGATGACTTTCGATGTGAGGCCGCCAAGTGTGGGCCTGACAACACCATACCCCATCGAGACAATCAGGATGATGATACGAGCAACAGTTCGTTTAACATTACCGAATGTGACCGCCCAGATGGTTATATCTGTTGGTCGGATCCCGGTCTCGTTGAATTCCGCGTAATCGAAATACCAGAGAGCCATCTCAAACATTCCCAGTGTTATCACCAGAGTAATGCAATTCTGCAGCGGGAATACTTCTCTCCAAAATCTGGCGTACTGCAAGAACCAGAAGATTCCAAGAACCACGAAAGCAAGAGACATGAACCCGTAAAAGTACATCAGTGGAGCCATTCTACCGGGCAGATGCCCACCTGGGTTTTTCCAAATGGTTTTCCCCTCGACGACTAAATCCCTAAGATCCAGATCACAATGGATAAAATACAAGTTGTACATTCCAGTCCTAGTGATCTGTACCAACCTCGACGGCAACAAAGCAGACAGCTCGTTCTCGCCAAAAGTAATACCAAACACTAGAGGCCAGTTCGAGTCGTGAGCAGAAGGACGGTAAATGATATCTCCATGTGAGCAAACACCGAGTTTCGCCAGATCTGAAGTACAACAGACAGCTCTTTGCCCACCATAAGCTGACCCTCCTATGTTCTCACGGTCCCCAACCTCGAAAATCACGGCATGGATAGGCAATGTGGATCTGTTAGAGATTTCCTCCGGCCTCCGGAATATTATCTTCTCGAAGCTGTTGATACACTTGCCATATTAGACCAACACTAAGAGTCTAAAGTTAGCAACTTTCACAAGCAAGCTAAAGAATGTAAATTGCTCTTGAGCACTTGATCCACCATAAGTGCAGAAAACAGTCTATAATCAGCTGAAATTAGCTCGTAATGACAGAGAATTTACTTGTTCATCTATGAGATCCGACTCCTGATTCAATTCCTTGAACAAGTTCTAAGGGCAAATTCCGCAAACACTTCACGAGTAATCGAAATTCGACATCAGATCTCGGGACCCTAATCGAAGAATCAACACAAGCATCCCCAGAATCGAGGACCCAACGAGGGAATCGGGATCGGAGAGTGAAAATTACCGGATAAAAGAAGCAGAATCGGAATCGGAATCAGAACCAGAAGTGAAGTTGTCGGTGAGCGATGAAGAGTAGATGCCCTCGCTGCCGCCATGGAAGACAAAGGCGTTGCCTTTGGACGTGAATCTCTCGTTTCGATACTCATGCACAGAAGCTTCGATCAGAGTAACGAAAGAAGAAGAAGACGCCAAGCACATCATAAGAAGAAAACGGAGCCACATTGGCACCGACTTCCCGCAGAGACCCCTAAAGCAATTTTCTACCTTTTCAGGTATACGGATAGATTTGGAAGAACTTGCGTAAATCATGTTTGTTTTGGTTAATTATTGCAAAGGGATTTACTATGAATAATTTATTTTCGTTATTGCTATGGAAATAAAATATGCAATATTATGTTGGATACTTTATAGTAACCATAGAGAGAGAGAGAGAGAGAGAGAGAGAGAGAGAGAGAGAGATGAGAGGAAGAAGAAGAAGAAGCGGAAGAACACAAAGGTAGTGTAATGACGATTGACGACTGAGGGAGCCGGAGGCTGTGACTCTGGAGATGTATCTCACGGATGTCAAAGGCTTTAAGATCCACCCTGTCCGAAGGATCCCAATGCAGTAGTTGGGGGATTTTTACCCAAATAACCCACTTGTTCGCACCTATTTCAGCGTACACCACCAAAAAAAAAATTTTAATTTTAACCCATTTTTCGGTTGAAAAAGTTCGAAATACCTTTTCGTTTTATTTTTTGCGACCTTATTACGACTAACCTATAACTCATATACAACTAAAATAAGACAGATAATTTTTTTGCCACCTTTTTTAGAATCAATTGTAACTATATTTAGAATTAATTACGAAGTCGTAATAACGAAGTTATTTTCGAACGGATAAATATCGTGTATTTATTAAGGGTAATTTCATCTTTTCAAAGGAAAAAAATGTATTATGTTTTTGGTGGTGTGCACGTAAAATAGATGCGACCCAAGTGGGTCATTTGAGTGATTTTCTCAGTCGTCGGACCCGTAATACTCCAACTCCGACAGAAGGTTTGATCTTAAGCTGTCTTCGCTACGTCTTACTCTAACAACAAATTTCAGTCACAATTTAGATGAAAATGAGTTTAGAATAAGCTTATTGAAGGTAAATTAATTCATTTAATCAAAATATATTTTTGTTTTTAAAATTTTATATAACTTACACTTGAATAACTTGTTTTTTTTCTTTGATTCTTCAAAAATTTTGTAAACAAATTAATGTTTCGTCACCGTGATTGCACTACCAAAGTTTTTGTTTTTAAGTTCTCCATAATTTACTTTATAAATCTTTTTTTATTGAATTTATAAATACTTTTATTTTGTCTCTTTCATATTTGCATTAATTTTTTCTATTCTAACGAAACTCGTACATTAATTCTATTTCTGATTACAATATCCGATAATATTATATATATATATAATATGTCATATCCAACATTTTCTTGGTACTTAATTCAGACACCAACCAATTTTACTTCAATCATCTAAAGAGTTTGTTTCTTAGAAAGCAAGCAAAAGCGAATTGAACAAAGAAGAAGAAGAAGAAGAAGAAGAAGAAAGTCTTAGTTCAGGTTACCCACCTGAAAATTACACAAGCCACATACATATATATACACATATGTATGTCCGAATGTTTGTATATAAATATCTCAGTTCCATGATGTTTCAAGAACATGTCTGGTTTCTGTTGGCCCAATGCCCAGGGATCCAAACATGCAAAAAAAAAAAAAAAGATGCCTCCTCCTTGTGAATTCCCTCCACAAACAGCTTCTGCAGAACAAGACAACAATGATCTTGCATGAGCGCTTCAGCATGAGATGAGATCTTAGAATGAAGAGATTTTGGTTTGTGGGTTTTGTTTATCATTTACCTTTACTTCAGTGAAATCTCTGCAAGAGCTCAAGAACAAAATAATGTTTCAGATTTCAAGAACAATGACTGCAATCAGAAGAAGAAGAAGAAGAAGATGCGAATCAGTTAATGTGTGTTGATTCTTGCTTTGTTTTTTGAAAAGGATATGATCAACTCACAATCGGAGTCTGTCTTGACCCATTTATGCCCGTCGACGTTACTTTTCTCGTTTTCGCCGATATTCTTCGAGACTTGTTGCTTGTCTTGCAAGTAATTCTTCGCCGATGTTGCCCTAGCGGTGGCTTGAGACGAGCTCATCTTCTTGTGTAGCACCATCCTCAAGAACTGCAATTTTTCACCAGAATCAATAACAAGGTGATAAGATCGATCCATATTTCTAAGTGAAAGTTCTCCGTATGTGTACCTTCTCCATTCTTGATTCTTGAAGGGTGTCTCTCAAGCCTGGAGCAGGAGAAGGGAGTGGGAATCCATCGGTGCAGACGAAAATCTTCTTGAGGAGATACGAGACGGAGGCTTTACCGATATCCATCTTCTTCTTCTTCTTCTTCTTCTTCCGATTGTTCACTGCCGAGATCTCTTTGCATCTACCGATAATAACGTTGATAGTCCTCTCGATATCTTCCTCTTCCTTACCATCAGAATCGGCAGTGCAGATCCTCCTATCGACCTCCAAGCTGGAAGGGCAGTTCAAGAATCTATCCAGCGGGAGATTGTTCGTGAGCTCCCTGTGGACATCGGACTTCCTCTTCTTAGTTCTCGTCAAGAGCTTCGTCAGCTCCTTCTGCAGCTTCCCGACCTCCTCGGGATTGAAGCCTTCTAGATCATCCGAGGAAGAAGGATCTTGATCTTGATCTTTATTGATATCTTTTTTATCCGTGCGGTTTCCGCCTTGAATCTCCTGAACCACGCCAGTGTTTGTACCAAATGTTCCAATAGCTAACAATCCGTGAGGCAAATCGCTGAACTCCGCCCTCGGCTCTTGCTTCCCGTGATCTGCAGACCGCACCGAAAGTCCATACATAAACTCCAAAAACATATATATTCAAGAAAGAAATATTAAAATGTATCGTCAAAAGAAGATATATATATATATATATATAGGTTTTTATAACCCGAAAACATGGTAATTAACTCACGAGAAGCTGCTGAGGAGGTGCTTGATCTGCCGTTCACCTGCTTCTGGTTTAGCTTGTTCTGCATCCACCCGAAGAACTGCACACAAGAACCAGACAAGACCAGAACATTTCAGACATTTTCATAATGGACCAAGCGATACGATGTATGATCATCGCGACAACAGTAACAGAACACACACACGAACCTTCATGTTTCAAGAACAGAACCGGTTTACTTCTACTGAGGAGAAGAAGAAGAAGAAGAAGAAGGAAACGAATATGAACTCGACTACTCGGAGAATCAAAGGGTAAAAGATGATCTCTTAAGGATTTGGGATGGGCTTCGGTTGATGAATTTGATGGGTTCAAGTTCCCAAATTCACGGCCTCCTTCTTCTTTTATACAACTCATGCAACGTAAATCCCAATGCAAACGCCCCAAGAACATTCTTCTTCTTTTTTTTATATATAAAAAAAAATGGCGCATTGGAGAGAACGTTGCGGCTTTGATGGCGGTTCATACACCGTGAGTTGGCTCCATTGGATCATAAACAAATCATATGAATCCCTAGAAATCATTGAATGGTCAATACGCTGACACGAAGTGGGCTTCGCGGATTTCGTTTATATATAATCATATGATCACGTTTCAGAAATAAATAAATACAAAGTTGAATCTAACCGAATATATAATATTTATATTTGAAGTTTTGTATTCATTATAATTTTTGTTTTTGAAAATTGAAGATGTACACGTGTTAGAAGACAAAGGTTCGTCTTTTGTCGGTACAGTTCTACTCCCCAAGGGGTCGGGTTGACTTTGTCAACGGCAACCATCCTTCTCATTCGTCGTTTTAAATTAAATTTAAGGAAATAAAAACAGGATTCATGTTTATGAAAATAAATAAATAAAAGTGCGAACTATGAGTTTCAATAATAGAACAAAATCTTCTGTAAAATAATCTAACAAAATATAATGCCAAAAGAAGTGTGGTCAGCAAAATCTATGGTGTTAAAAATGTTAATAGCTATATATAATCATATTTTATTATGAACTAACCTACTAATACTTCATCCATGGGAAAGAGATAAACAAAGGTAGTGTTAAGAAACTCCCATTTATATGATTCTCCAACATAAATATTTTAATACTTTTTTATAATATTTAATAGTGTAAAACCTATAAAGATTGTTAAATTTGTTAAATAGTGCAAAATAAATTTCTAAACTTTTCATTTAAAAAAATTATTCTCAAACTCGCAAAATGTGTCATTATAATTTTCAAACTTATAACACGTGTCATTATAATTTTCAAACAGATTTTCAAATCAATATCATCAAGATTTTTTCTAACACCAATCAATAAATTTGAGAATTATAATGACATATTTTGCGAATTTGAAAATAAATTTGTTAAGCGAAAATTTTATACAAGAATTTATTTATTACTATTTTATAAATTAATTTTTTTTATGGGTTTTATTCTATTTAGATGTTTTCTATCCGAATTATGAGAATCTAAACGATTAAGAATATGGATAATGGAAATAAAATTATATAAGAGAGATGGAGAGAAACTAAAGTATTTGGTCATGTATAGAATAACCCATAGATTATACATATAATTAAGTAGATAGTTATAATAAATAATCATTAAAAAAAGGTGGAGATCGAGAAATTCAAAATAGCTTTTCATGTTACCAAATGAACTAACATCATTGGAGGAACCCATCTTCTCGGTCTCCATGAAGCTTTGTTTTTACTTCAAGTAGTTGCTCTTTTTCTTAATCCCTTTGGATTATAAACCATTAATCAACAGTATCTTTACTAAATCACGATTAATTAAAAATTAAACATGATCCGAATGTCCGTGGCCACGTAACTCAACATGCATCCATCAATTAAAACGAGAAAAAAAATCAAATGAGCGATTTTGAACTGAATGTTCTAAAGGTGGTTTAGTTAGGGACCACTTAAACAGAGATTACAAGATTAATATGTGGTTAATATCGTTATTACGTTGCCCTAATCACAGTTTTTTTGTTGAACAGTACACGTGTAAGGAATCTAGAAAATATTCAAATAAAAGCGAGGATATTTATTCGTTTTTATCGAAGATCAATCGTCATGGAATTCGTCAGCGTGCAATTGAAATTTGTGTTTTATACGATTCATGCGCTCTAATAATAACATTATGTATTTATTTTGGTTAGCATGAGCATCTCATGAATATTGGAAAAGAGAAAAATACCTGAAAATTTCTAAACTTGTAATTTGGTGTAATATTAATTCATGGATTTATAGGTATGTCTATTTATTCTCAAACTTGTATTTTTTAACACAGTAATTTCTAAATTTGTTTAACAGTTGCATAATAGTCCATACCACTAATTGACCAAAGCAATATTTAGGAATTACTATGTTCGAAAATTCAAGTTTAGAAATTACTATGCTCAAAAATACAAGTTCAGAAATTACTATGTTCAAAAATGTAAGTTTGGAAATAAATAAGCACACCTATAAATTCATGAATTAATATTACACCAAATTACAAGTTTAGAAATTTTCAGCTATTTTTCTCTATCGGAAACAAATAAAAATCGTCATCTAACCCGTCACCATGCAAAGTATACGGATAGATTTGGAAGAACTTGCGTAAATCATGTTTGTTTTGGTTAATTATTGCAAAGGGATTTACTATGAATAATTTATTTTCGTTATTGCTATGGAAATAAAATATGCAATATTATGTTGGATACTTTATAGTAACCATAGAACTTTCGACCAATATTTTGTATAAATTTGTATCCATCGAAAGAATGTGTCATTCGTAAATAATGTAGAAATTGAGCATATAAAAATATATGTTGATAATTAGCAAGATAAACAACGAGAACTTTTGAAGTTTTCATAGGGTGGATTCAGAAAATCAATGCCATAATAAGAGTAGGAGGATCCATGCTTAAATATTTTTTTTAGTCAGTTATCTAACAAAATAAATTATAAGATGCGATCCATGCATAGTAATATTGAAAAATAAAATAAAAAAATTAAATTAGAAAGAAAGAACAAAACATAAAAGAATATGAACACTTTTATTATTACATCTCTTTTTTCTTATTACATTACAATAAAAATGATTCATACGTTTATAGGAAAAGTAATTAAAAAAAACAAGAAAATAAAGATACGAGAGAAACAAATGAGACAAAATATAATTCATACGATATATATTTTATTCTTAGTTGATATTATGACTTTAATTATTATCAATCAGATCAAATCTTTATATTTTATTTTTATTTCAACATTGTCCCTCAAGATTGATTTTGAAAGAATTCAAAAATCAATCTTGAAAATAAAACAAAATGATGAAAAACTTTATTGTTATTAGAACGATCCATAGTCACCAAATTTCATTCATTTAGCGAGTATTAACATTTTTCAAATCACTTCGCTTAACTTTAAAGTTTTAGCTTTAATTGTTTTTGTCATACCATCTTGCTTGATTTTAGAGTTTTTAGTTTTGACTTCTTTTTCGTCATATCGCATCGTTTGAATCTGGTTTTTTTACCCCATTTGAAGAATTTGGATATATGAACATCCAAACGCAAAAGAAAGAAGAGATTATAAAATAAAAAAAATATAGTTCAAATCGCAACGTTGTTCTGATACTATGGAAATTAAATTAGAAAGAAAAAACAAAAAAGAAAAGAACGGAAATATTATTGTTACATCTGTTCTTTCTTATTATATTACAATGAAAATAATTTATAAATTTATAGAAAAAGTTATTGAAAGAAACAAGAAAATAAAGATACGAAAAGAAATAAATAAAGCAAAATATAATTTATATGATATATATTTTATTTTTAATTGATATTATGCCTTTAATTATTATCAATCATATCAAATCTTCCATATTTTGATTTTATTTCAACGAGTAATTCATCATAATTGTGTGTATGTGTATATATATTTGACAAGAGTAAAATGTTAATGGTTTTATGGTAAATATGATCGTGCATGGGAGTAGTTGTCCCAAAAGCATTATACTGCTACAATTTGGCTCTTTTCACGTGAAGCGTTTTATGGTTATCAATGATATACGAAGCCTAAATTCTAAAATAGAAAACCTCGTCGTAGAAGATGGATTGGAATAGAGGGAATTCATGAAGTGTGTAGAAAAAGGAGGGTGTTGTCTACGAGAGAGAGAGAGAGAGAGAGAGAGAGAGAGAGAGAGAGAGAGAGAGAGAGATCACAGGTTGAGAAGAAGAAGATCGAAGACCGAAGAAAATGTTGAAAATGAAAGGGCAAAGGGCACGTGACTGTGAATCTTACAAGGTCTCGTTGTGTTTGGAAACATTTCCATAAATACCAATGCTTTCCATTTCGGGAAAGTTTGCTTGCTTTTCTCTCTCTCTCTCTCCAACGCGAGAATTTTTGTTTTTGTTAAACAAAAAAAAAAAAAGGGATGGCAGCAGTGGCCCTCTTTTTCATTGGATCGCAAAGATCTTCTTTCACTTTTAGATTTATTATCTTTGATTTGTACTCGATTAATTTAGATTTAGTTTTTTTATTTTTTAATAATCATCATATTTATTCAGTTTTTTATTCAATTCAGCTGGAATTTATTAAGTTCTTTTTGTTTATTAAACAAATTATTTATTTTTTAAATAAAAATTATTTTTGTTCTTTTTTATACATGATTATGTATTAATTTACTATAAAACTCTTTTCTTATTCGAAAAAACTCTCGGAGTTCCAAGAATTCTCTTAATCAAATGAAGATTTTAGAGAATTGTAAAATATTTATATTTTAGAGAAAACTGTTATAAATTTAAAACTACTTACAAGATAATTTTATCCTGGTAAGATTGTATAAAACACAAAACTCAATTTAATTCTACATCGACAAATTATGTGTGAATTTTTGTTTAAAACAAAATCATAAATCAGAGATTTTAGGTAAAATTCTGTTTAAATTTTAGAATCTTACATCGACGGATTCTATGAATCTAAATGTGAAATATAATTATCTTCTTGTTATGTAGATAGATCGAAATAAACAGGTATACCAAAACGAAAAACATAGACATAAATATACAAAAAGTTATGGGCAAATATTTTTTATTAACATATGTTGCACTCAAATTGGAGAGATAAATAGTTTAGTGACCAATCTAAACAAGATATTAAGATAGAAATGCAAAAAAAAAAAATTCTTTTTTAATCATGAAATTTAGGAACTCTAAATATTAAACACAAAATATAGGGATGATAAATAAATATAGGCTATATATCTACAAAATGAATGTACTAGCTTGATTACACCATTGAAT